AGAGGTCACACAAGGGGCGTCGTTCAGTCAAGTTCTATCCGAGGAGGTACTGTTAGAGTAGGGTACCCGGCGTTCCAATCGGATTGGACGTATTCTACTTGTAAATACGATCTATTGGAATTATATTGTAAATAAGGCNTTTTTTTTTTTTTTTTTTTTTTTGTGTTTCATACTAATTACATTGAATTTTATTTTCAGACTCAAGCCCTAGAGGGGGCTTATAACTCGTTAGCGAATATTCAAGACATATTTCCTACACTCCCTCAACGGGCGCAGGCCGCATTCCAACCGTCCTACAACATTGCCTATAGTTATTTGACCAACAGTTCTACAACATTGCCTATAGTTTTCTAACTGTTGGAGGCCAAGAGGTCACACAAGGACCATCGTTCAGTCAAATTCTATCCGAGGAGGACTACATCCCATCCCAGAAAATACAGTCACAGAGGGCGAGGCATCAACCCCCTGCCAACATTGGTAGAGGTAGAAGACGTCGTGACCGCGAACGACAACAACGCCCGTTCGGATTTGAGTTCTATTTTTTCCTATACGTAACTAACGAACCTCTCTATTCAATGATGCATGCATGACCAAATTATTCTTGAAATCATATTCTCCCAAAGCTCTTGACATACACATTAAACGTGTTTCGCGCGAATTTGCTTTTTGGGCCCGTTCGGACTCGTCCAAGCTCGAAATTGATTTTTGCTTCTTCCTATATGTCGGCAACAAACCCATCTACACAACCATAACTGCTCGGTCAATTTTCGGATTAAATCTATTCCTCACGGGGCTAAAAAATTAACAAATCCTCCGTGGACCATCTATTTATATAATGGGTGGTTTGTTAATTTTTTAGCCCGTGAGGAATATATTTAGCCCAAAAATTGACCGGGAAATTATGGTTGAGTAGATGGATTCGTTGGCGACATATAGGAAGAAGCAGAAATCAATTTCGAGTTTGGACTAGTCCGAACGGGCCCAAAAAGCAAAGTCGCGCGAAACACGTTTAATGTGTAGGTCAAGAGCTTTGGAAGAATATGATTTCAAGAATAATTTGGTCATGTATGCATCATTAAATAGAAGGGTTTCTTAGCTACGTATAGGAAAAAACGGAACTCAATTCCAAGTTCAGACGAGCCCAAAACACAAAACACATACTATATATTAATTTTTTTATTCATTAATTTTGAAATATAAAGCGTATTATCAAAATACGTTTTATTTCTTAATTATTTATAAAACGTATTATATAAGAAATAAAATTATATTTTGATAATACATTTTGGTTTTTAATTATTTGTAAAACATATGATCAAAATACGTTTTATTTATTATTATTTTTTTAAAACGTATTATATGAATGCGTTTTAAAACGTATTTCGAGAATACGTTTTACATATTTTGAAAAAACTTGAGAATATGTTTTTATTTTGTTTTGATTCTTGTCCACATGTTTTTAAATTTTTTTTTTAAATAAATAAATAAATCCAGGAAAAACTCTCTTTTTCGGTTCGACTTCAANAAGGAAAAAAAAAAAAAGAAAAAAAGAAAGAATGAGCGAATATGTAAATACTGCCCAAGTTTGTTTCATGCCGTATCTGTTAACTTCTCAAATATCCATGCTTTATTTATTTATCTATACTAGTACAGTCCCGTGCGATGCACGGGGGTTTATTATCTCCGTCCCTTTTATAAAGCAATGTTCAGTTAAAATTCAAAGTACTTACTAAAGGAAAGATCATGCCATTAATAGTAAATAAATTAATAAATACAATGATAATAAAATTTATATATTATTGAACACTTCCTTATATACGACGTTCATGGTTTGATTCTTTGGCACGTCATCGTCGCCGCAAATTACGACTTTCAAACCCATTTCTGTTTGTGACACGGGAGACAGCAACATACAATTGACCATGACTAAACACTGGTTTCTTAAGAAAGAAGCTCACATGCGATAATGATTGTTCCTGACTCTTGTTTATAGTCATGTTGTAAGTAAACATAATGGGAAACAATTAATCCAATAACATCTACAAAAATATAAAAAAATGCATCATATTGAAATGTATGACATATAAAATAGTTTATTACAGATTTTAAATTAAAAAAATCGAAATAAGAAATAAACAAAAAAATTATAACGTACCAAACAACATGANTCACCCCTCCATTTGATAAATCACCTCTCCATTTGATAAATCACCCCTCCATTTGATAATCTTGGTTTGACCATTGATAATGATCCCCCTTTTACCTATCGTCGATTTATGGATGCCAGTATTGCTTTTCACTTGATAGTTTGTCAAGATATAAGCGCCACCTTCTTCAATATCACCGATGATTTTTTTGGATATTGACAGGTCGAATTATGCCAGTAATTCATCCTCCCTAAAACATTGCATAATGAATACTTCAATAAATAAATTATAAAAGATGTTGCATAAAATGATGCATTTAAATAATACTGAATGAAGATATTACCTCAAAATCATAAAAGATAATCTCAAGCACATTTCGGTAATTGCGTACGTCTTCAACTCGGTCGAACATTCTAATTATGCGTAGCTTGATTGGTGGCTTATTGGATCTTTTGATATCCTTGATTACTCCAAAATCCGAAGCCATTTTCAATGGTGATGTAAAAGCTTGTAGAAAAAATTGTTTTGTGGGATATATTGGATGTCGAATACTTTTTGTTCAACGTTGGTGATGTTTATATAGTCATGTGTATGTGCCATATGTCTAGGAAATAAAAAAATATTTACGTAAGGTATTTAATATGATCCGATCCGATTTTTTTTATTATGATTATGATTGACTTCTAAAAATATGTGTTATCGGTTTTGTTAAAAAAAAAATGTGGAACGTGATTCACTTATGAGGACCGAACCAATATTTAGAAGATTATGTAGCCAAAAATAATGGAGTTTGTTACAATGAAATTTGGTAAGACTTTTTGGATAGATTGAAAAANATATGATCCGATCCGATTTTTTTTATTATGATTATGATTGACTTCTAAAAATATGTGTTATCGGTTTTGTTAAAAAAATAAAAAAAAATGTGGAACGTGATTCACTTGTGAGGGACGAATGAATATTTAGAAGATTATGTAGCCAAAAATAATGGAGTTTGTTACAATGAAATTTGGTAAGACTTTTTGGATAGATTGAAAAATAATATTTTTATTTTGATCTATTTATTTTGGACAAATCCAAAACTTTAATTTACAAAATTATAATCTTTAATTTTTTGAAACGTGTAAAATTTTCTAAGATAACTTCTATAAAACAAAATGTGATCAAATCATAATTGATTTTTATGCCTCAATATTCCAAATCAAACCTTACAAATATGGTATGATTCTTACAAATATGGTATGATTATTTACTATTAATATTTTATTTTTTCAAACGTCTGATTCTCTTAGGTTTATATGAAACAAAGTTCAATCAAATCAAAATTGATTTTTATGCCCACACTAAAACTTTATCAATATGATATGTTTATTTTATTTATTTATTTTTTTTCAAATCCACGACTCAAATTTTCGAGATAGAGAAAAAAAAGGAAACAAAATCTTATCAAACCTTATCAAATTTTCGANAAACAAAATTTTATTAAAACCTATCAAATTTTTGAGAGAGGAAAAAAAAATAAAAAAAAAATGGAAACAAAATCTTACCAAACCTTATCAATAATAAAGATTCGTGTTTCCACAAAAAACTAACAAAATCCCGTGGTTACCAAAATCCTATCAAATTAGTTAAGAAAATCTCATTAAATTGGTTAACAATATTGGAACGCATTTTGTTGGGAAAGATTTACGTAATTTATCTATCTAATTAATATCATATTAACGTGTGGGCCCAGTGATATTAATTTAGTGTAGCATCCATTATCTCAGAATAATTATTTGTTTGATTTACAACATTAATTTGAATGGAAAAAAAAATCCGTAATTGTTGAGATATCTCAATTCAAAATCTCAGTTTTTTGGCATAAGAATTTTCAAATTTGTTACCAATAAAAATAGATTCCTATGGGATTAATATTTAAAATGTATTAAATTTTGGTATAAGAATCTCCAAATTTGTTACCATAAGAATCTTCAATTTGTTACCATAAGAAACCCATAAAAATCTCCTATGGATTGGAGTTTATCAATATTTAGTATAACATCCATTAGTCTCGGAATAATTTTTTGTTTGATTTACATCATGAATTTGAAGGGGAAAAAATCTGAAATTGTTAGGATATCTCAATTCAAAATCTCAATTTTTTTGCATAAGAATCTCAATTTGTTACCATAAGAATCCCATAGAAATCTCCTATGGGATTGGAGTTTATCAATAGTTGGTATAACATCCATTATTTTTGGAATAATTTTTTGTTTGATTTACAACATTAATTTGAATAGGAAAAAAATCCGTAATTGTTGGAATATCTCAATTCAAAATCTCAATNATCTCCAATTTGTTACCATAAAAATCCCATAGAAATCTCCTATGAGATTGAAGATTATCAATATTTGGTATAACATCCATTATTTTTGGAATAATTTTTTGTTTGATTTACAATATTAATTTGAATGGGAAAAAAATCCGTAATTGTTGGAATGTCTCAATTCAAAATCTCAATTTTTTGGCATAAGAATCTTCAAATTTGTTACCAATAAAAGTATATTCCTATGGGATTAATATTTAAAATGAATTTAAATTTTAGTATTGGAATCTCCAAATTTGTTAGCATAAAAATCTCTAATTTTTTTGAGATATCTCAATTAAATTTGTCACCATAAAAATCTCCAAATTTGTTATTATAAAAATCTCAACTTTTTTGGTACATGTGTTTTTTCTGAAATTTCTACTAATAGTAAGTCAAGCCATTTATTTTTTTAGTCAAACTTACTATAAAAGTATTTTTCCAACAACCTCTTTATATTACTATAGATTATGTAAATTAAATTTTTGTCGAAAACTCAGTTATTNTCTGTTATCGCCAAGACCCTTCAGAATGAAGCTGATGTTTTTCTCATAGATTCGTAAGAGCTCTCTCGTGTCTTTTTTTATTTGTCTGGGCATGTTCTTGTCCATTTTCTGTTTAGATAGATACCTCTGTTGTGATTATGTTTGGATATAATTTGACCCATTTGGTCTGTTAATGCTGTTTAGTCTGTGATGGGTGTAGATGTTGTTTGTTTTGACTTGTGAGGTGAATGTATTGGGATTATTTCTAGTCTTGAATCTCTACACGCAATTTTGGATCCAAATTGTGTTTATGAGCTTTGCTTAATTTTAATTTGTAGCTCTATTTCAGCAACATATTTTGCTGGTTGCTCCACTAGATATTGTTTTTCATAAATGGTTCTCTATTTATCTTGAGGATAATATATTGTACTGGGCTGCTTGTTATAATCATGAAATGAGGTGGGAATGTTGTCCTTTAATCAACAACTGTGTGGAAATCTCTGTGTCAGGCTGTTTTCGGACAGGTGGAGTGCAATTTCCTCTAAATGCTATTTCTTTGATCCTCTTTTGTATCTTGATATTTAATACAGGGAACGATTTGGATTGAAGTAGGCTGGTTTAGTTGTTTGCTATAACCTTTTGTTATTCTATATTTCCCAGCATTTACCTCATCATGTGGGTGCCTGGTGGTTCGATAGGCATTTAAATTTCAAACTAGTACTATATGTCTTACAAACCACAACCATAGTAAGTCATCTTTTGTTTTTATCAAAACCTATTTGCAGTCGGATATCTGCACTGTTTTACGTCGTATAATTTTATTTTATTGGATGATACACTAGGATTCTTTTGTTTTGAAGTCTCTATTGATGTCAAGATCATTGCAGGAAGGAATTTTTTGAGATCACTTGGGCAAGCTTGAGGGCAATGGTTGAACCTTCATTTGCGGAGAGAACGGTGATTAACCACTCTGAATACCTTCCTAATGTTCATGTTATTACATCTCCTGCAACTAGCATCACTCAAAATGAGGTCATGACTTCACAAGGCCATGTAATTTCATACGATTATCTTGTCATCGCCACTGGACATGTAGATCCTGGTCTGCGTACAAAAGCTGAGAGGCTCAATCACTACCAAGCAGGTTAAAAAAAAAAAAAAAAAAA